TTTTTTTTAGGTTACCGGGTGCTTATTATTATTGATAATTTCAGTAGTTGTCAGTCAAATTCGTATATCCGTTAAACTTAGAAAATTCAATACATAAACTATAAGCAGTAATAAGAATGCTTATATACTTATTATATAGTTGAAGAAAAAATTTTAAAATAATAAAGTAGAAAAAATTATTAATGGAAAATATGTGATAGTTTAGCAGGTATACACATAGATAGGTATAATGTAGTTTAATTTTCTATTATTAAAAAATTTTGTTACCTTGAAAGTTTAATTAGGAAATTAGAAATAATAAAAAAATTATGTTTTTTATAAAAAAACCAAAAAATAAAAATAAAAAATCAGACTATAATAAATTGAAAACTTTAAGATTTTCATAATAAACAATTTTCATTAAAAGGATTTTCGTAATGTTTTTTTTTAATTTTTTTTTTCAAAAATGTTTTTAATTTTTTTTATATTAATTGGCTAGTCATTTAAAAAAATGGTTTTATTGAAAATTTGAAATTTTATAATAAATTTAGATTAATGAAATTGGACGTCCGGCGGCACTTTAGCACAAACTGTTCTACCAATAGCAATAAAATTTCAAAAATAATAAGCTAAGCGTTTATAATTTAATCGATTAAATTGAATAATCGGTTTTAGCTGTTACTTTTGATTTTGTAATTTCGATTGTATTCTATATAATAATTATGTACAATTTTTCAAAACTTATATTAATCTAATAATTTTTTAGATTATTAATAATAAACTTTTATTAATCTAATAATTATTGAATTTAACAAAAAAAAAATTGAAAAACATTATTAAATTAAAACTTAAAAATTTCAATTAAACTTAGTTTTTATAATGGAAGAAAACGGCAAGAAGCATGGACATGAACACTGACTAATAATGTTCTACGGCATTGCTCCTTTTCTCTTTTATTAAAATACAAAATTGGAAAATAAAAATAAAACAAAAACTATTATGTGCAAATATTTTAATTTCTTTAAATTTGCTCTCAAAATCTTTTTTTTTTATTTTCTTGTTAATTCTAATATTGTAAAACTGAATGAATTTTTTATTAACATCAGAATTATTAAGCTTATACGTATGTATATAAATATGTAATTTTATGCAAATCAGAATAAAATCGTTATACCTATATAAATTTTTATTTAGCACATAAATACATAATTAATATATATATTTATTCTATACTTTTAATTGTTTTAATATATAGCTTTATGAATTCATATCCGACTTTGAGTTATCAAATAATTTGAAGTCAAATAAACACGATCGTTTGTATAGGATGAGTCTGAAATCAGATAATAATGTGATAGCGTATTATACAGGTCTGAAAGGAAGTATGACTTTTGAAATATGTTTGCTGAGAAAAAGGTAAGAAAAAAATTTTTTTTTAAAAAATCTTATTCATCTTATTGAAACGATGTTAAGAGATTTATTTATCTTTGAATAAATTGAATAGATTTTCTTATTGGCATTAATTATTTAAATTATTTTTGAAGTGGTTACAATCGTTGTACAAACATTAATAAGTTTAAATTTTTTGAGAAATTGGTGCAGAGATTTAGTTCTTTAATTTAAAAAATGTATATATATTTATTTCCAATAACCTTTTATTATTTTTACAAAATTAGTTGAAATATGTTTAAAATGAAATAAAATAAGGTTTATGGCAAATGAAAATTCAAAGCATTTTTAACTGATTTCTTACAGTAAAAACTAACACCTAATTCTCTAGTATGGGCTTTGTTTCTAATTGAAGTTTTAAGTAGTTAGTTATGATTAAACTTAATTATGTATACAATATTAAAAAAAATATGAGAAATAAAAATTCAATTACTTGGGGTACGTAACAACAAAACTCAATTTAGCTACATTGTTTTTAAATTTTCAAAAACTTTCTGCATGATCTACTAGATGAAAATAAATTTTTTCACTTGGCTGTTAGAATAAATATTAAATAAATGTTTTCGAATTTTAATTCAAGTATACTTTTAATTGAAAATAAAATGAGAATTTTGTCCTTACTTCTGTGAAAACCACCGAATTTATTATTATGCTCTTTAATTTCTCATGAAAGAAGAAAACTTGTTATATAATAACAATTCAAAGCATCTGTATATAATATTGTATATAATATTTTGCCTAATATACAAGACTTTTAATTTTTTTAACCATTTTAACAATTATTTTTTCGAAAGTGAACAATATGTTATGAGTGTACTTATTGAATCAGGTCAAAAAGATATCTTTATGTCGCTAGTATCCAAAAAAAAAAATCAAGTTTATTGTATTTTTGAATTTCTTGTGTGTATATATTTAATTATAAAAAAATGTACATGATTCCTCTTAGTATAATGTTAAAATTGTTCAAATTGCAATTATGAATTTCTTTAGAAAAGCAAAAGTAAAATAAAATAAAAAAAACAGAAACAAGAAAAATAAACTAAAATTATTTAATACGTAAAAAATGTATGGTATACTTAATTTAACCTTCATTTTATATATACAAACTTTTCATGATATTATATTACATGTATATATGTAGCACATCTTTGAAAATGACCTTGAATTAAAAAATATATAAGAAATATAAATGTTTTTTTTTTTACTTACAATTAAATTTACTAGTGCTTTTCTTTTAAAACATTTTAACGTTCATTACAGTAATGAATAAATTTTATGTACTTGTTTACATGCAAAATGTATGAAATATACAAATGTGTATCATAAACTTGAATGTATGAAAAGTATTTACACATACACAAACAAAAATAAACGCAATAATAGTTAAAATTTTTTTTGTTTCTTATTTTAATCCGACCAAAAAAAAAAGGAAAACTAAAATTATTTTAACAAATTTTTATTATTATTATTAAACCTGTTATCTTTACATTAAAGGGTAAAACAAAAAAATTAGTACATACATACATACATACATACGCAAAAAACCAGGAATAATAAAAAATCCAAAAAATTTTATAAGGAAAGCAATTTTAGCAGTTTAATTGGAGTTTAAAATTTTTTTTTAAATATTTTTACTAAAACAAATACTTGGTGTTATACATGATAAAAAAAATGTAAGAGCATTTTAAAATTGTCCTCTTTAGTATATAAATGCTGTAAAATGAACTGTTATGGTAACATCGTTAAGAATAACAAACCACATATTATGTATAACAGAAAGTACTAATGAAAAGGGAAGAAATGGAAACGGGAAATTATTTAAAGAGAGAGAATCTTTTCATATCTCAATCAATTTTGCATTAAAATTAACAAATGTAAAAGTTTTATTATAAAATTAAAAGGTTATAAACCAAGTATGTATATGTGTATACGAAAGTTTTATACGTATAGTATGTAAACATATCTTGATATTTATGAAAATAATAAAATATAATTGCCACTTTTTATACAATTACTTAATTGTACAGTTTATAATATGGTTCAAGTTTTAGTCTGTTTTTAAATTTAATAATTATACATAAATAAAGAAATATAATTAAACGACGTTGATTAAAGCTTTTTTTGTATACAAAGGTTGGTCAACAAAACAATAAGATTAACGGATTGTTTGTATATACGTTTGTTTATGATATTTCGTCAGGAATTAATATTATCTTGGAAGGGATTAATATTATCAGATTATAAAAGTTGTGCTGAACGGTTGAAGATTTACATGAAAATTATTTTCTTTTGATTACTGCTTAATCAAACCGTACTAGTATTAACAAATTTTCGAATTTTTTATTTCTATAAGTCAGCTTAATATTTCTAATAAAATTCCCGATTCCCTTATATTTTAAAGTTTTGTCGACTTTTAATCAGATTTATGTTTAATGCGAAATTTTTTAAACTAGTTGGGGAAAGTCATAATATGGTAATAATGTGTGCTCGAATTTTGTTGATGTACACAATATCACCATATTGAAATGATACTCGTATTGTCGAACTCGATAGGTTTTTAAAATACAAATACAATCGAATTTCAAATTAAGACAGTTTTTATTTTAATTGACAAATTTCTTTTTGCTATTATATAAGCATTATAAATTGTGCATGAGGTTTAGAATAACTCTTAAATTTTATTGTAGAAATGTGGATCTATACATGTATATCTATTCATAAAATTTCAAATTTTAAATCATTTTTTTTTCATTTTGACGCAATACAATATTATCCATTATTTTTCCTAGAGTAAGTATTAACTTTTGTTTTATGAAACTATTATCAGGACCTACATACGTACATACATCTTTATTTACAATAATTATAGCATTAAATATTAAATTTTACGCACGATACTTCAAAATTTTTTAAAGTTAAATTCTACTACTTTAAATAGCAACATTCTTTGCTGCTGATTCTATACTTATTTTGCTGTATTGAAATTAATTTGAAATTTTTATAAACAGTTGTTAAATATTTTTTAAGAAAAATTTATTTTAAGTACTATGCAGACCTAATAGACTTTATTGATTTTAGTTCCGGTTCTAATATTATGTATATCTAAACATTATTTTTAAATTTGTTTACAAGTTTTTAACCACATGGGTGTTATATGAATTCTATCTCCAAAGTTTAGAATTAGATAAAAATCGTTCTCTTTGGTACTCTTTCGATAAATACATAATCATTTAATTTTAATTTAAATTCTAAATTTTATATAATAGATTAGTTAAGAATGCATATTCTTATAGCATAGCATAGTAATTTGAATATATTATGCTATATGTAATATTATACTCGTATGTTATGCTTTATAGCAATATTACTATAATTGAATACTATATTCAGTAGAGCTTATGAACTTATTAAAATTTTCAAAAATTGCTTTAGATACTGTTAAGGAATTGTTTAATTTTGAAATTCAAGGAACTCAGGATTTAAAGAGAAATAAGTTTGATTTTATATTTTATAAAAGTAAAATTTGTCTACTGTATAAGGAAACTTTCATATTATTTATATTAAGAGCTTACCCGTCTTGACATTGGTCCATCTGAATAATCAACCGGTTGACATTTTAAATTATAATAATTTAACCAGCCAGCCATTAAATGCTAAAAATATATTAAATAATTATAAATAAATAAAATATTAATTATATTATAAATAAATTAACAATTTTACCTCATAGAACATATATCCGCTTAAAAGTACTTGGAAAGCATTATAATATATTAATGTAGTTCTAAGTTGCATTGGTTTTCTATCTCTCATATATCTAGGACCTATGACTAATACCCATGCTAAATATGTTAAAACCATACCTATTGTGGGTAAAGGACTATCCATAAATGGGTATTTAACTGCTCTAGGATCTAAAAAAAATTAAAATAAATAAATGTAAATTAATTAAATGAATATAAAAATTTGAAAAAGAAAATTAAGAAACAAAAATTAGATAAAATACAATATCGCAATTAAATAAATAATAAAAACTAAAAAATAAACAAGAATAAAAATAAAAATAAATTTATTATAAGTAAGTGTGTGCATAATGTATAAATTAAGAATAAATAGAAGAAAAAAAATTTTTTATTTTGTTGTTAACTTCATTTTTTGCCAACTAAATTCTTAATTGTTTTGCGTTCTGGTTTTGATTCATTTGTATTAAGGAATACAAAAACTCCCAAAAGTTTAATCTCGTTTTTTTTCTATATTTTTAATATTGAAAGCGGGAAAAAAACCAAATTATTATTTAAAATTAAAAAATTGTTGTATTAAAATTTTTTCTTTTACTCAATTAATCAAAATAGGCTTCTCTTATATAGTTATTGTCTTTTAGGATTTAGTAACTAGAAGAGAATATAATATGTTTTGTTAGGGTACAAATGTAATTTTTAAAGTTTTTATTTTACCTATATTTGATTAATAAATTTGGAACATATAAAATATTTTTAAAACATTATAACATTGATTGTTTATATTCTAGTCATCGGAATTGTAATAATACCGTATCGATACACCATTCAGCAATTGGCATTTGTAAGCTGAATTGTGCAATAATACAAAATTACAATATTATTACATTTCCGATCTAAGACTACTCGTATGTTGAACAAGTGAGTTGAAAAAAAATGCATTCAACAAAGGCATAAGGAAACAATCAAAGAAATGAATAAAGAGCTTTAAAGAAAAAATATGAAATGAGTATACAGTAAAATCATAAATATATATGTGGACTATACAGTTGTGCAATAGATAGGGAGGAAAGAGTAAAATAAAAACTAGGGTAAAGAATTTTCATATGTAATTTTAAGTAACTTTGCTTTCATGACAATAATTCTTGGTATGCATTGTACAATTAATGTTGTGTGTAGTAAATCGTTTCTCATTTTGTTTTCTATTGTTTGTTTTAATACAGTTTTGAGTTTGGGTATAAATTACAAAAAATATTTACTGTAAACTGTAAAATGTAAAAAAAATTAAACAAAATTTCAAATTTTAATTGTTTGCTATCACTTAAACGACTAAAATAATGCCTCACTCCAGACTAGAAAATTCTTAATTCTTTGAATAAATTAACAGTTTTATTTCAGCGGTTGTTTGACATTGAATTAATCAATAAAAAAAAATATTTCCTTTTTTTTTAATATCTTTTTTTTTTGTATTTTTACCATTTTTTGCATGATAAAGCATGAAAAACATTTTTTTTGTTGTTTGTTTATTATTTTTACAATAAATTAAAAGATTTTTTTTTATTTTCATTTATATAATATTAAAATTAATAAAATAAATTTAATCAGAATCGTTGAAAATTATTTTTGGTTCCGAAATGTTCGTTAACCTTTACAAAGAACAAAGGTTTTTTTGTTTTTTGGAGAAGCAAAACACTTTTTAAAATTCCAGAATTCAATAAGAATAAATTAAAAAAAAATACGGATCTTAAAAATCTATTCCTTGCGTACCTTATTAAGTTCCTGACATTATCATGTTTTCATAATGCAAATCAACAGAATTTATTAATAAAAAATAAATTTATTTAAAAGTTCAAAATTTTTTAAGTTCATATTTGTTATTAATATACAAAGTGATGACACGAACGTGTAAATAATCATAAATTCAAAATAATTTTAATGTAAGAGTATTTTAATTTCTCAATCTATTGGAATTTAGTTTTCATTTTAAATGTAATTAAAAAAAAATTATTAATATATAGTGATTGCATTTAAAGAATTTCAAAAATATGAAAAGCTGTCAAAGCATATAAAATAAATTTTTATTGTAATTCAATATTATAAAAACTTTATGCGTGGTTTGAATTTTTTTAATAAATTCTTTAAAAGTTTTATATACTGTTACATAAAATATAATATCATAGTAGCATTTTTTTAATAATTAGCGTCATAATTATTCATTTTCATTCTATAAAATATTAAGTGCTTATCTGTAATTAAAAATAAATGTAGATAAAAAAAAAAACATAATAAGAAAAGAGTTCTCCGCTTGAGTCTTTTAATTATGATCGCTAAAATCTAATAAAACGAAACAAATTTTAAATAACTGGTAATTTATTTTGTGTTCCAAGAGTAAATAACCTTTAAATTAAACTGAAGTAGAAAACATTAAAATTTAATGGATAGTTTTTGTTTTTTTATTATAATATTGTTTATTGATGTAAGAATAAAAGTATAACAAATTTCCTTGCTCAAATTTTTCTCATGTTATTTTTGGTTTTCTAAAGTCTTATGATTCTCAAAAAAGAGAATTGAGTATAATGTGTGTGTGTGTGTCAAACTTTGAAAAGACAATTGGTGGTGAACCGAAAACAAAAATGTAAGTAGAAAGTAAAACTTGTAAATCTTGTAAAATATAAATAAAAACAGAAATTGTGGAGAAAGAAAAAATTAATTACTTAATTATTACAAATTATTTATAAAAGATTTTGATAAAGTATTTTATAAAATAAATTAAGCTTGTAAGCAGAATTTTAATTAGATTTTATAATTTAAGAATTTTTTTCTAATCCAAGACTCTTGGCCAACTTATAACAATTTTTTAATGCATAGTCCTGTTTTTCATATAGAGGTTTGAATATATTAAAGAATTCGGGCTTTGGGCTTATAAAGTTTATTGATTTCATGAATTTCTTTGGGGACTTAATTTTTTGTCTTACTTTTGCGGTTAATTTTATACAATATATTTTGCTATAGCTTTGAAATATCTCTTTCAATTATGAAAAATTAAAAATATGTTGATAAGTAATTTCGATTAGTCTCGCATAGTCTTTATAAAAAATATACATACTATATACATAATGTGGTCTCATACGAGTATACTAAATTACTTTATTTAATATATTTATTAATTATGTTTTTTTTGGAATTCATGTGTGGTTTGAAATTAAAAGATTTGAAGATGAATGAATGGGAATTAATTTTTTTTCGAAACTGTTTTAAAAAATTTCTATATCTATGGTAATTGAATGCAATAACACAATACTTAGAATATAAAGTTAACTAATTATGAGTAAAAATTTTAAGTAATAATTCGCGTGCGATTATGAAAAATATTTGAAAATTTTTTTTTCTATAAGTCATTAATCTTTTATTATAATTTGTAATTTAGTATTTCCGCACATATTAACAGCGTATTTCTATGTATATTATAAGATATATGGTTTTTATTAAGTAATTTTAATTCTATGTATTATAAATTAAAGTATATTTAGTTATATTAAATATTTATTCGATAAATTGTTAAAAGCTTTTATAAATATTTTTAAAAAAGTTCATTTTTAATAGTGAATTAAGTGAAAATTCTTGAATATTATTTGCATTCTGTTTATATTTTTCCTTCCCCTTTACGACAATCTACCGATAAATTTATTTTTATTGTGCAGGTTTTTGCCACCCAAAGTATTTTAAATGACAGATTAATAAATATTTCATGAAATCGTGATCACTGTGCTTAAAATTTTTATTAAAATTTATGAAACAAAAATTTTATACAAATAGGTAAACATTGGCGTGAAAACTAAAAAAAATTAATATTGGAAAAAAATTTCATTTTTATTTGCGATTTAATAATTTTTCATTCTATATTGTAGAAGGTTTCTAGAATTCTATATCTAGTAACTTACATAATATAGAATTTTATAATTTATCAATAGAATTTTTAATTATAATTACCGAAATATATGATGTTTATTTACAATTAAATAAAAAAATCACACTTTATTTTTCAGTTTTTATTATTTTTTCTTATTCATTTTGGTAGGAAAGTGAAATTTTAAAACAATTTCTAAAAATATTCACAAAAACCAGAAAATTTAATTGAAACTTCTTATGTCAAACCCCTAATAATTAAAATTTTAATTAATTATTTTTTGAATCTCTTGCAATTTTGTTACTTATCTTGAATATTGGACATGGATTTCTTACACAATTTTTCTAATAAATTTCATAATATCATTCGATTTTGTACTAATTTATGCATAAATTTTAAATTAGTTTAAATATTTTACAGTAATAAATTAATTGTTTTACTTCAAAAAATAAATTATATCAAAAATTATTAAAAATATTAAGAATTATTATTATTATTATTCTCATTTTCCATATTATATATTTACTCGTATGAGGCGAGTAATGAGTAAAGTGATAATCATTCGTCATAGAGGATTCAAATATGTGGGAGATTTAATTTCACCAATTATATACTTGTAAAAAAAAAAGATCAATTTTCTGCTGATATTAATAAAAATTATTTACTCATTCAAATATTTGTAAAAAAATTTATATTTAATGAGAGAAAAATTATCTCATTTTTAATACACGAAATGCATTCTCTTACATTATCTACCCTACGGTATATGTTCGTAATTTTTAAGTTTTTCGCTTTAACAATCTTAAATTAACTACAATTTTATTGTTTTAAATTGAAAAATAAGAAGTTTTTAAAAAATCTAAAATTAATATTTTCTATTAAAATGAAATCTATTCTATTAAATGAAATCTATTTTTAAAAATCACATTTTCTAATTCAAATAAATGAGAATTGTGATTGAGTCAATTAGAAAGGTTGAGAGACAGAATGAAATTATATTTTATAGCTAATTGATTCGGACCCTCAGCAAAATTAATTCATTAAATTCTTATTAAATTATTAATAAATATCAAAATATTAAAAAATTTTAATAAATACATTTTAAATATAATTATGTATATAGTTTCTTCATCTCAATTACATATAATAATAAAAAACAAAATATTCACATTTAATTTTTTTAACAATTCATTGTCATTTTGATATATGCAACTCAGAATCCAGTTAAGGGATATTAATGAAACTAAAAAAAACGAAAACATGAGTAGTG